TATAGCTTTTCATGTTTCTGAAACCACTTACCACATTTAGGCCAAAAGGCAAAATAATAAAAAATAACCTCACCTAAAAAAAAGTTTAAGGATTAAGTACTTCCATATACCAGTGATGAACAGATTTGAACAATATATTTGATTTTATGCTCTCTAGTTGCTAAAGTGAGGAAAAGAAACAGAATTATATTGTTTTCATGTGCTGACAGCCGGAAGCATGTAAACATCTGCAGAAACCAAACGTTTCCTGGAACTAAGCTTGAGCAGAAATCTATCACGTGGACCTTTGTTTAAAGAACCTTGTGAAAAACCACAGTTATGTAAAAGACCCAGGAGCGCAGTTCTTGTGGATTAGATTCTCTAGGAGGCAGAGAGTCTAAGGAGATCAAAGAAAACAACGACTTGGGAAGTACATGTGCTGAGCCCTGGAGCCAAACTAGCAGAAGGGAGTTTTGGAGGCACTGAATCCAGGGTCTGTGCTTTTTGGGGGCTGTAGTAAAAGAAAGGAGTATAGGCCTGGTACAGTGGCTCATACCTGTAGTCCCATTACTTTGGGAGGCTGAGGCTGGAGGATGGTTTGAGGCCAGAATTCAAGACCAGCCTGGGCAACAAAGTGAGACCCCTTCTAGACAAAAAAAAAACAACAAAACCTGGGTATGTTGGTGTGTGCCTGTAGTCCTAGCTACTCAGGAGGCTGAGGCAGTAGGGTCATTTAAGTCCAGGAGTTGAAGGCTGCAGTGAGCTATGCGGGTACCACTGCACCACATTTGGGTGACAGAGCAAGACCCTGACTAAACAAAACAAAGGAGGCGGGGAGTTTAGAAAATACCACGATTGTTAAGAGGACCATCCGATTTCATTTTCTCTAAAATATTAGATATTGTCAGTGTGGTTTTTGTATAGGTGCTGATTCTGTTCTGTTCATCTTCAAGTAACAAATAAATGCCTGCAGTGGAGATATCTTATTTTGATGATTAATGGGACGCTTTTAAGCTTTGAAGAAAGCAAACAACATTTTCCGTGGATCTTTAAGAGCTGGGCTAATATTTTTGCCCACACAGAACTCTAATTCATTTCAGAGTCAAGGGCAACAATAGAATATTATTTCAGTGACCTTGCATTTGTTAATACAGGTTTTCATAATAGAAAGCAATTTAAATCTTCAGAACTAATGTAACGTGGAAGAAACAACTCTTTCCTGAAATATATGAGGGACAAGTGTAACAAACAATTCATCTTTACTCTGACAGTCTCAACTGAAAGACTTCAGTGTGGTCATAGTAGTGCATTTTCGACTCCCAGCAGACAAGTAAGGCAAGGAACCATCAGCTCCCAGGCTACTGTAGTCATCCATGGAGACGAGGGAGGCTCGCATGGCAGTGGTTGGAGCAGGAAGAAGTACTTAGAATTCAGATGTAGTTTTAAGATGGAGCCAGCAGGGTTTGCTCATGAACTGGGTAGAGGGTGTGAGGGAAAGAGAAAAGGCCAAGATGACTTGGAGGATGGAGTTATCCTTGCCTGAGATGAGCAACCCTGTAGGAGCTTCAGGCATGGGGCCCTAGGGGAGCATCAGGAATTTGGCGTGGCATGATATTAAGAGGGGAATGTCTATTAGACATCCAGGTGGAGATGTCAAGGAGAAGCCTGAAAAATGAGCCTTGAGTTCAGGGAAGAGGTTCACGCTCTTATTTAAGGTGATGAGACCCACTGAGATGACCAGGAGGGGAGGGAGTGTAGATAGGAAAGTTCGAGAACTGAGAGTCCCGGGTCCCTCTGGCATTGAGAGACTGGATGATGATAAGTGGTTTAAAGAATGGCCAGTGAAGGAGGAGGAGAGTCAGTAGGTTGTGGTGTCCTGGCAACCAAGCAAAGAAACTGTTTAAAGAAAGAGGAGAGTGATCAGCTCTGTCTGTGCCACTGGCAGGTCCAGTAAGAGGAAGACTGAACAGTGAACGTTAGATTGAGTGAAAATGGTTTCTGCTGCTTTTTTGCCCAAGTCGTCTTGAATGAATTCAGTTAACCTCTCTCTGGGGATAACAATGGTACCTACCTCATCAGGTGGTGGTGATGAACTATTTGTTTATTTAAAAAAATTTTTGCTGAGACAGGATCTAGCTCTGTTGCCAAGTTGGAGGGCATTGGCATGATCACAGCTCACTGCAACCTTGACCTCTTGGACTCAAGCAGTTCTCCCGTCTCAGCCTCCCAAGTAGCTAGGACCATAGGCATTGCCACCACCACACCCAGCTACTTTTTTTATTTTTTTGTAGAGAAGGAGTCTTGCTGTGTTGCCCAGGTTGGTATCAAACTCTTGGACTCAAGCAATCCTCCTGCCTTGACCTCTCAAAGTACTTGCATTACAGGCGTGAGCCACCATGTCCAGCCTATGAACTGTTTAAGTGGATGACCAGCCTAAGCAAGAAAGACCCCATTCCAAAAAATAAAATAAGCTGGATGTGGTGCCATGTGCCTGTGGCCTCGGCAACTCAGGAGGCTGAGGTGGAAGGATCACTTGTTCCAGGAGTTTGAGACTGCAGTGAGCTATGATTGCCCCACTGCACTCCAGCCTGGACGACAGAGTGAGACGCTGTCTAAAAAGAAAGAAATAATGCTCGCTTTGGCAGCACATATGCTAAAATTGAAGTGATACAGGGAGGAGTGGTGTGGTCCCTGGACAAGGATGGCATGCATATTTGCGAAGCATTCCATCTTTTAAAAATTCAATTTAAAAAATTTTTAAAAAGAAAAAGTAAATGGATGAGATAATTCCTTTAAAGTACCTCTCCCTGTACCTGGCTTTTGGGCATTTCAGTCAAAGACATTGCTGGCTTTAACAATAGCAGTTTTAGGGGAGCAGTGGGGACAAAGCCTGATGGGAATAGGAAGAAAGAATTGGAGACAGCAGATGGAGTCAGCTCTTTTGAGTATTCTTATAAAATTGGATTAGAGAAATGAGTTAATTCGTGAGACTGTGGGGTGAAGAGGAAAGGCCAGTAGGCAGGAAGGCCTCCCTCCCTCCCTCCTTTCCTCCTTTCCTAAAACCACAGACCTTCTGCAGTGATGGGAATCATCCTGTGTAGAGGGAAAAGCTGATGATGTAGTTGGATTTAGGATCATAGATAACAATGGACCGAAATAACTAGGTTATCCTTGCCACCTGCCCCCACCTCTCAGTCTTTTATTCATTCACTTAACAAATACTTATTGTAAGTTCACAAGGTGCCAAGGACCGAGCTTAGGTGCTGGGAACAGTGGTGGTTAAGGGACTAACCAAACGGGCACGAGCTCTACACCCTCATGAAGTTGTCACAGTCTGGTTGGAGATAGGCTTTCTAAAAACACACAAATACAGGTTTGGACGAACGCTTTGCAGGAAGAGTACAGAGTGCTTTTGAGAGGAAGAGAGGGAGAGGAGCATGGTGTGACCTAGACGGGGAGGCATACAAAGGTCTCTCAGATGTGAAAGATGACCATGGCTGAAAAGAGCATCCCAGCAAAGGGAACAGACCTTGCAAAGGCCCTGGGGCAGGCGAGAGAGACGCTGGTGCTTTTGGAGATTTGAGAGAAGACCAGAGTGGCCTGAGAGGTGGGAAGGGAGCAGGTCATGCAGGGCTTTGGAAGCCTCCATATTATAGCTTATGGGATATCATGTCTAAGGGCAATGGGAAACATTGAAAACTGTTTTAGTTGGGGAGTGACATGGTGAGATTTGCATTGGAGAAAAACATACGACCCATAATGAAGTATGTCATGGTGAATGGATCGGAGGGGCAAAAGTGGAGGAAAACCCCACTAATTTAGGCAAAAAGATAATACCTGTGAAAATACTTAGTCTAAGATATGTATAATTTTGGTATAGAAACAGAAGTGAGGATATCCTCTCTTTAGCAGAATTTGCTTTGCACTTAACCAGGTTTCTTACTTCCATAAGCAGAAATTAATCCCCAGTGATAGAAAAGAGTTAATGAACACATTCTCCATTTTCTTGTTAAAAATAATGTCAGTCGAGAAGAATCAGCCGAAACTTTGAAAAAGATTGTGGCAACCTTGTGAAAAGTAAAAATAATGAGACCTTATTAAATTTTTTTTCTAGAAAAAAATACCAATGAATCAATATTAGGAGACAGAATCTGTTAAGAAAACTCATTATGGCCAGGTGCGGTGGCTCACATCTGTAATCCCAGCACTTTGGGAGGCTGAGGCTGGCAGATCGCTTGAGCTCAGGAATTTGAGACCAGCCTGGGCAACATGGTTGAAACCCCTGTCTCTACCAAAAATACAAAAAATTAGCCAGGTGTGGTGGTGTGCACCTGTGGTCCCAGCTACCCAAGGGGCTAAGGTGGGAGGATCACTTGAGCCTGGGAGGCAGAGGCTGCAGTGAACTGAGATCTCCTCACTGCACTCCAGCCTGTGTGACAGAGCCAGACCCTCTCTCAAAAATAATAAAGGCCAGGTGTGGTGGCTCACGCCTGTAATCCCAGCACTTTGGGAGGCCGAGGCGGGTGGATCACTTGAGGTCAGGAGTTTAAGACCAGCCTGGCCAACATGGCAAAACCCCATCTCTACTAAAAAGATAAAAATTAGCCTGGTGCGGTAGTGGGAGCCTGTAATCCCAGCTACTTGGGAGACTGAGGCAGGAGAATCACTTGAACCTGGAAGGCGGAGATTGCAGTGAGCAGAGACTATGCTGTTGCACTCCAGCCTGGGTGACAGTGCGAGACTCCGTCTCAAAAAGAAAAAAAAAAGGGAGCAAGTTCTAGTACTGGGTGGATATTTTATTGCACCAATTTAGGCTTGTCCCCAGAGATTTCTTAAAACAGAAAGGCAGTTGTAATACCAAGTATTGCTGTATCAGGCCACCTGCTACTCCAAGGCCATGAATTAACTTGTTCTAAGCCCTCAAGGAAAGAAAAGAGGAAACAGAGGTTTATTCCCTATCAAGACAGTCCACTCGAGAAAGTTCTGTCTTGGTTGTAACTTCAGGTTTCTTTCTTACACAGGCATTTTATTAATGCTTTTACGAGTTAGAAGAGTTGGGATAATTTACCATCTGGAGTTTCTCTGCCTTGCTGATCTGAGCTCAGACCTGCTAATTTACCAGAGATGACTGATAACACCCTGTAACAGCTGAGTAAGTAGATTCTTCTGTTTGTTTTACTGCTTTTTAAAAAGGTTTAAAGTTTTAAAATACTATAAACTTTAATTGGGTTCTTTAAATTTTGTTGTTGAATAATGCAATTATTATGATGATTTTAATAAGTGAATATTTTGTAAATAATGGGATTCTGGAAGAAATTAATCCCCGATGATAGAAAAGAGTTAATGAACACATTCTCCATACATAACACTTTAGCATTCAAGAAACATAGGATTTAAATACATATATTAAAAATTTAGGCCAGGCGCAGTGGCTCATGCCTGTAATCCCATCACTTTGGGAGGCTGAGGCGGGTGGATCACCTGAGGCCAGGAGTTTGAGACCAGCCTGGCCAACATGGTGAAATCCTATCTTGACTAAAAATGCAAAAATTAGCCAGTCGTGGTGGCGGGTGCCCATAATCCCAGCTACTCTAGAGGCTGAGGCAGGAGAATCACTTGAACCCGGGAGGCAGAGGTTGCAGTGAGCTGAGACTGTGCCACTGCACTCCAGCCTGGGTGACAGAGAGGCTCTGTCTCAAAAAAAAAAAAAAAAAAAAAAAAAAAGCATTCTCCTTAGTGCTTTATTTCACTTTTACATTATAAAATATAAAAAAAAATTGGTAAAACAACTGTTAATACATTTTAAAAATGCAACTGTATATAAAAATTATCTTTGAATGCAGGATGCATTTTGGTTACTGGTTTAGTGGAAATATAATTTTAATAGTTGTTTCTATTTGAAAATAATGATTTTTCTGATACTAATATAGATAAGATCACAGAATCTCTCTGGATTTAGCTTTGTTTCTCAAACAGACTAGGGAAGAATGGCTTTCATTCTTTCTAATCAAAACACCTGAATGAAGTTTAAAGTGTTTTAAGTGTTGAGTCAGTTACCTTGAAAACAAACGGTTTCTCAGAACAAGAGCTATTATTCCTCGTACTATATCCTTTGAAACTGTTTTGACAAAACGAGTAAACCGTGAAGTTGTACCAGGGCCTTGTTTGGTAATCTTAAAATAAAAACAATGAATAAATCTGCAAGATATTCCCCACTGCAGTGGGATTATTTAATTTTGGTCCAAATCTGTGTTGTCCAATATGGTAGCAACTGGCCGCATGCCACATGTAGCTATCAGACGTTTGAAATATGAGTAGTACTAATGGAAATGTGCTCTGCAGAAATTACTGTATTTCAAAAATATATATATAAAAAGGTTAAAATATTAGGTTTTATATTGAAATGATAATATTTTGGATATATTGAATTAAAACTTATTATTAAAATTAATATCACTTGTTTTCGTTTACTATTTTATGTGACTGCTAGAAAATTTAAAATTACTTGTAGCTTGCATTATATTTCTTTTGGATAGAATTGATCTATATCATCACATACAATCAACATTCTTAGTCATCCAGTACCTAGCATTCTGTAGCTCTTGAACTTTCTGGGCCCCATATGGATCAATTCATATACATTTGTATTGTTTTAAGAATGTGGTTCTTTGATTCATCAAATATTTATTGACTACCTACCATGTGTCAGACAGTATTGTAGGTATTGGTGATACAGTAGTGAACAAAATGAACTAAACTCTCTGCCTTCATGGAGGTAACATTCTAGCAGGAAGACACAGACTAAGAACAAATAAAAAAGTACAATATGTAGTATATAAGAAGGCAATGAGTGCTTTGGAGAAATGTAAGGCAGGCAAGGGTAAGGGCTAAAGAGTTCACTGGTAAAGAAGGTGTTCAGGGAAGGCCTCAGTGAGAAGATGTGAAGAAGTTGATGGAAAGAGCCTGTGGGTGTTTGGGGGAAGAGTAGGCAGAGAGGATAGCAAATGCAAAGATCTTGAGGCAGAAGCATGCCTGGCTTGTTTGAAAGTAGAAGGAGGCTAGTGAATGGAGTGGAGTGAGTGAAGGGGCTGTAATCCCAGCACTTGGGGAGGCTGAGTCTGGGTGGATCACGAGGTCAGGAGATCGAGACCATTCTGGCCAACGTGGTGAAACCCCATATCTACTAAAATACAAAAAATTAGCCAGGCGTGGTGGTGGGTGCCTGTAGTCCCAGCTACTCAGGAGGCTGAGGCAGGGGAATCGCTTGAACCCGGGAGGCAGAGGTTGCTGTGAGCCGAGATAGTGTCACTGCACTCCAGCCTGGCGACAGGGTAAGACTCTGTCTCAAAAAAAAAGATGAGAGGATATGGATGGTCACATCATGTTGTCAGAGGCATTTAAACCAGAGCAAGCCCATCTTGAGTAGGGGCTGGGTAAAATAAGGCTGAGACCTCCTGGGCTGCATTCCCAAACACTTAGGCATTCTAAGTCCCAGGATGAGATAGGACGTCAGCACAAGATACAAGTCATAAAGACCTTGCTAATAAAAAAGCTTGCAGTAAAGAAGCCGGCCAAAACCCACCAAAACTAAGATGGCGACGACAGTGGGTGACGAGAGTGACCTCCGGTCGTCCTCATTCATTGCTACACTCCCACCAGCACCATGGCAGTTTACAAATGCCAGGACAGCGACAGGTTGGTACCCCATAAAAAGGGGAGGCATAAATAATCCACCCCTTGTTTAGCATATAATCAAGAAATAACCATATAAATGGGCAACCAGCCACCCTCAGGGCTGCTCTGTCTATAGGGTAGCCACTCTTTTATTTCACTTTCCGAATGAGTTTACTTTCACTTTATAGACTTGCCTCAAATTCTTTCTTGCATGAGATACAAGAATCCTCCCTTGGGGTCTGGATTGGGATCCCTTTCCCCTAGCAGTGTGAGCGGTGGTTATTGTATGGGTTTTGGCTTCCAGTGAGATGAAAAAGAATTGGTGGGTTTTAAGGAGAGAAGCGACATGATCTTTCTATTGAAGCTAATGTGATTTGAATACTCTGGGCTGGGGGTGGGGGTGTTTGCAAGGGTAAAAGCAGAGAGACCCACTGAGGCTACTGCAGTGACCCAGCTGAGAGATGATGGTGCCTGAGACCATAAGTGAGGGATGTGATGAGAAATGATGGAATTCTAGTTATATGTTGTTGTGAAATTAAATATGGGATAAGAGACAAAAAAAGGGGTGTCAGGGAAGACTCCACAATTTTCAGCTTGAACAACTGAGTGGAGGTGCCTTTGCTGAGATGAGGCGGGTGTGGATTGTGGAGGGACCGATTGGAGGCAGCACTAGGAGCTCAGTTTTAAACACATTAAATTTGAGATTCTTCTTTAGACATCTAAGCAGAAAGGTCATGTAGGCAGAGTCTGGACTTCAGTGGGCGGTCAGGATTCAAAAGGCAAATTTGGAGTCATTAGCATTGAACTGTTGTTCAAAGTCATAAGAAGGATTGAGGCCACCAAGGGAGTGAGAAGAATGGTCTGGGGCCTCTCCTGGTCCCATAGAGTCAGCAGGGCAGACTGAGGAACAGACAGGAAGGTGTAAGTCGTGATACTCTAGACACTGAGGGAAGCAGTAGTAACCCACTTTGTCAGATGCTGCAGATGGGTTAGGTAAGATGCCAGCCGAAAATTGATCAGAAGATTTAGCGGTGAGGAGGATGTTAGTGATCTTGGCGAGTGGTTTCGGTGAAATGGTAGAGACAAAAGCCAGGGTGGAGCAGATTCCAGGGAGAATTGGAGGAACTGGATTGAAGAGTAAGTTACAGACAGACTCTCTTTTGAGTAACTTGTGAAGTCCAGAAGAGTCAAGGAAAGTTTTGGTTTTGGTTTTTTAAGATGAGAGAAATTACATGTTTCTCCCAATGCATGTGTTAGAGAGATTTCATGGCTTACCAGATTTATGATATTTGAGACCACTGCCTGCTGTGTTAGGTGTGGAGGTGTAGTGCTTCCCTCCTAAGATGATTTCATAGAATTGTGTTGTGGAAGAGGCGGAGGGGTGGGAGGGGTCGGGGGAGGGAGAGAGAGAGAGAGAGAGAGAGAGAATGTAGAGGTTGGCACTGAGTATGTTAAAGGTGGCTTTTGCAATTGTTATGAAATTTGGCTGCTGCTTGCTCAGTGTCTACATTCACATTCCGGGAATTAAAAATTTTAAGGTAACAAATGTTAAGACTAGTTCTCCTCAACTGAAAATGTTGAAAAAGCTGATGTTTGGTGTGTAATTCCTTTTCCTTACTTTTGAGGAAGTTATTGAAACATTTGAAGACGTTGAGGCAGAGACAATACCCAAGGTCACACAAAATGAAATATTGCCAGAATACCTGGATTTTAGATCTGATTTCCTAGCTCTGTGGAACACTTAATCCCTCTGTGTTCAGTTCCAGCAGGTATAAAACGAGGATAATATTTGCTCTACCTGCCATAGGAGGTTTTTATGAGGATCAGATGAACTGGTAGGTGAAGGGGCTTAGTCAACTATAAAGCATTGTATTATATAAATAGGAAGTAATGATGTTAAAACTAAATTATACTTGAGGATTTTGTGATAGCATGTGAAATAACTGGAGAAAGTATAACGTAACAAAACCTGGGCTGAGAATATTTGTAATACATAATCTTACTAATAGAACTGCAAGAATTTGCTTTTTGCCTACGTCAGACTTTGTTAATACACCACAGAATCGATCGTGTTTGGGTGATCTCAGAGTTCTGCGGTCAAGCCACAGCTGAGGTCCAAGCAATCAATCAGTTCATCTTCTAGGAGTCTCAAAGTTACTCAACTGGCTATTTTGGTACTTTAATGTAATGTTATCTTGCTGTTACTATGTGGAAGAGCCACTCTCTTAATAGAAAATATTCACGTTCTGATGATAAATTTTCTATCAGACTTTGAAAGCATTTCTATATTTGATACTTGGAGTTGAATTATAGTCATGCTTCATTTTTGTATTATCATCATACTTTATGCTGTGAAAAATTGAGAAATTAAAAATGAGTAGCCAAGATCACTTCCCTTAATGGTGATGTGAAGAGGTGATTCTCTTTCTGAATAAAACAAGCGTAAAACTGGGCGAGATTGTCCAAAATGGTCGTTTC